TCACGAGAAGATAACATAATTGATTCTTTAACTAGCCCATGCCTTGCAATTGCATACCGTAAAAGAATACCAATCAACACAATTTGACCCCATTCTTCGACATCAGGAAGAGTCTCACATAACCTTCTATAGTTTCTTCCAATCAGAGATAAATTAGTTGGACAAACAGAAGCAAATGCAGCTGCAGCAGCTCCAATAACTCCGGGAGAATTATCATTAAGCAAAAACCCAACAAGCTGCACATCACAGTATGATAATCCAATTAAAAGACAATATGATTCTGAATTCTACTTCATATTCTCCTTTTTACTTTCTATGGCATGTAAAAGTACAACTTCAGTAGACACAGATATCAGCAAACGTAGTAGAAATAACATACCAAGCACTAAAAAGATATGCTTGTGCTGAAGACAAATGAATGTATTTCCTACAGTTTCTAACTTTAATTAGTTATATAAGTACTTATAGATCAATAGCAGTAATTGGAAATCAAAAAATGCAAACACAAAAAGGGAGAAGTAAATCCATCAACATTATCTCAAGCTGCACCAACCTCTTCAATGGCAGCAGTGTTTTCCTCCAAACGTAAATCATGCACCTTTGGAAGTGCATTGGCAGCACACTTTCTAACATATACCGATGGATCCCTCGCGCATTTACTAACTGCTACCAGAACAAGCGGTGCAATCACATGTAAACGAATACCTGCCATAGTCCGAAGTGCCCACGCCCTCACCAATGGGTTTGTATCCCCCAGATCCTTCTGAAAATAGTTTATTGAAAGCAATGCCTCATTCGGCCGCCTATATTGCATCAACAGATATTAAAAATTAAAAATCATTTGAGAGGGGAGGGGTTGGGGGGTTGGAGGTGGCCGAACTGCAATTAACTTTTCTTTTTTCCTTAAAGAGACTGGAATTAGCAGTAAATAACGCACTTTTCAGCATAGTGCAGAAGGTACAAGTATACGAGCTTCTTCACCTCGATTGACTGTGAGGCGACGTTTTTCACCACCTACAAATTCATCAAAGCGCTTACAGAAGCTTACTTAACAAGCTTGTACCCACAGTACTGAGAAATATATTTAATTTAGGCACGGATTTATGAAGATTTCAGCATAATTATAAGAAATAGTAATGGAAGCAAGTAGTAATTTACTTGAGGAAAGAAATTGGAGACGTCGAAGCCTTGGGCGATAAGAGCGAGCAATCGCTTGAGAGCTTCGCATTTCTCTGAATCGAATTTGCTGTCGAGGAGTGGCGCAATGTTGACGTCATCGGGGTCGTCGTAAAGATGAGCGTCAGTACCGATCCGGAATACCATCGTTGAGGCTTTGCTCAAAGACTCCGCCGTGGCCCCAAATTGCGTGAACATCTTCTGTAATTCCTATCTATTGTTTCAGCTAAGTGATAATATGCCAAATTTAATTGGATACCGTTTCACCAGCCGGAATTTTGCGTCGGAGAGTTTGGAGACTGTTTACCGGTAGGCGATGCAAGATGGAAGTTAATTGTGTCATCTTTTCCCGCATTGCAAAGTTTATTGTGCTAAACCTTTTCCTTGTTAATTTAAAAACACTTTCGTCCATTTGGATTAGCTATTTTTTGATGGTGTTTTTAAAAATTTTACTATAGCAGAGTTTTTATAATATATATTAAAAAATATTTTTAAATATTTTTAAAATATTTAAAAATATAAGAGAGTTTTTAGAATATATTTTAAAACATGAAAAAAATTAGATTACTTTTTAGAATATTTTTTAAAAATTTTAATAGTATTTAAAAATTTAATTTTGAAAAACTCTTGAATCCAAAGAGAGCCTTTATGGTTTATACTTACCTTTTTACTACACTTTTATTCAAATGGCAGGCAGGTTGTGTAACTTGACTCGGTGATCAGAAAAATCGATAATCTAATCCGAATTAGCAGATATCTGACTTGGCGGATTATTTATGCGGACTGGGTCACATCTAAATGAAGGAGTAATGCAGAGCGGATTTAGATATTTTTTGTGATCCACGGATATGCAATCCGATCTGTATGCAATCCACGGATATGCAGAGCGAATTAAATCTACTATTTATAATAGTTTTATCTCTTGTTTCTTATTTTTATTTTTACATTATCTTACAAAATAGATTTTTTTGTATATGGTGTTAAGTTTTTAAACATATTGTCATATAATTTGTGGATAAAAAATTGTAGATGAGATATTTAATTCTTATTTGTTTGAATCAGAAAAAGAAAAAATATAATAGTTACTTTATATTGCAAAAAAAAATATTTTCGACTAAAAACTCTTTTATTTTATGATTAATAACTTATATGCGAGTACAACATATCACTTATATGGTATTTTTGAAACTCTAATACATTTAAATTTCACTTTATCTTTATGATTTTTAATTTTTTAAGGAAATTTTAAAATCAAATATGAATCGAATATTTAATTGATCCGATCCGCATAATGCGGATATCCACATTAGTGGATTCGTATACGTATCATATAAATGATCAATCTGATTTTTTTGCATCAACTCAATATTTTGATATTTCTAACTCGTAAACATCTTAATGGCGAGACATTTATTCAAGTCCTCTTACGTTTCCTCGAGAGTCAAGATTGAGAGTTTGCTTTGAACCAAATAAAATAAAATAATAATTGTAAAACATTTTGTTCACATCACAACTTAAAGCTTTATTAGGGTGAATATATGGGATTTAAAAGGTGATGATTTCTTGTACATGGGTACTTTTTAGAGTTGTAGGAGAAAATGTATATGGATTGATCTATTAGGAATTGTTTGCTACTTCACCGTGAGTACGAATATTTGACATTTCCTCTTGTTGTTTAGTTTGACATCGGAATAAGTTTTTATTATGATCATTGATGGTGGTTGCGAGCTGGTTGAATAGTTCATGAATATTCAAGGGATAATTGCAGAAACCTTCCATGAGATTTCTAAAAATTGCACTCACTTCCCTTGAGATTGAAAATATTACTAATCTCTAGGGATGGCAATGGGGCGGGTGCCCATCCGCGGGGTAAAATGGGGCGGGGGATGGGCGCGAAATATTTACCCCCGCCTTAAAACGGGCGCGGGGTTGGGGCAACGTACACCCGCCCCATCCCCCGCATAAATATATATATATATATATATATATATATAAGATGTTTGTCTAAAAGCCTTAATGAAAATGTAAATACGAGAGTCTGATGGAACAAGAATTCTTTCCATGGCCTATAATATTGTTTATAAACAGTTCCAACAAACCATGGGTTTGTTTTTTCCTTAATTTTGCTGATTTTCTTTTTTATGTTTTCCATTGATCTTTGCCTTTTGTTATTTCTGGATTTTAACTGTTTTTTGTATTTTTGGTTAGTGTTTGGGAATTCTTCCTCTCTCCTGTTAGTTCTAAAAAATGCTTGGACATATGAGGAAAGTTTTGCTTTTTGTAAGTTGATTTCTTTTCTTGCGGCGGGAAATTGGGCGGGGGATGGGGGGCAAGGCGCGGGGACGGGGGGAGTTATTTGACAACGGAGCGGGGACAGGAGAAGGATCCCTGCCCATTGCCATCCCTACTAATCTCTCGTAACATGATTTTGGAGCCTATGCCAACGTAAGATATGGTGAATTTACTTATAGACCCTTAGAGTTTAAGGTTGTTAGTAAACAAATTTGGAGAAAAAAATTAGAGCATTAACAAGTTCAATAAAACTAATTAAATAAGATTAATGGTTATTTCTTATCTGATTAGGCATTGTAAGTGTACTTACAAAATGATACCAATTGATACTCCAATATGACGATATTTTATGATTGACAGCACTTGAAAAGACAATTTAAGTTGTATATTTATATTATCTACATAAAAGAGAAGGAGAAGCAAGAAAAATGTGGGGGAAAGAAACCTCTAAGTTTTGGTGATTTTGGCTGAACTCACTTTATCTTTAAACATTCATGAAATGGAAGGAGAAAACAAGCAGAAATCAAGGAAAATCTAAGGATTTTTTGTTAAAATTTGTGGCAATCAAGAGACAATAATATGTAAGTAATAATTTGTCAACTCAACTTAACACAAAAAAGTTCTTCTTAGTAAATGAGAGTTTTTGGAGTTGATCCTATACTTTATATGATTTAGAACCTCAAATTTCTGAATGTTATGTTCCATTCCTTATCTTAAAAAAATAAATATGCGGTACTATCATTTGTTCACCAAGATAAAGCTAATACAATACATATATTATATATACTGAACATCATCATCTCCATCTGAATTTTCTAATGTTGAGAATTTTTATAAAAAATATATTGTAATAATTTAATGCGTGTATGAAATAAAAATGTGATTGAAAAATATATCAAGGAATATTGTCAAAATTAGAAAACTGGTAATTCAAACATCACAAACAAAAGTTTAAAACTCATATACTCAGTTCACTTCGTCCTTTAAAACATGTTATGTTCTTTTGTTGTAAATAATAAAGATGGAAAAGATTGAAAATTTATTAGTTCTTATTAAAGGAAATTCCACCGTTCCTTTTTTGACAGTAATCCAATCAATTCTCGCCACATCATTCAATATCTCTTTTTTATATATTTAATGGTGAATTGGTACGCGTATTATAAGGATACTTCCCCTTTTATATTGTGACCAGTCAAATAAAATCAACAAATTTATTTAACATGACTACTTCCGTGGCCAAAATTTTGTTTTCGTTCTTTTTGAGTTTCTTTTTGTTATCTTCTTCGTCAAGATTTTACAATAATCTCATCACCATCATTAGTTAGTTGTAGATTGCTCAGGGCAGCAGCATGACTTTCAAAACTAACAACTGGTAACAAGGATGTGTGTATTTAACTTCGACTAGGTAAAATTGGAGTTAATAAGAGTTGAATTTAATAGGGCAAGGAGCAAGAGCAAAACCTGCAAAAGCAAAAGCAAGTAGGCAGTACGAGACTGACGCACTGAAATCAGAACGATAAAAGTGATGACTATTGTGGCACGTGAATACGACCTCTCTTTTACCTGTATGCGTTTTCATTTACTGCCCCTTTTACCGTCGTTGCCTCTCTTGTTATTGTCGTTCCTTCGACCAACTGCCACACTGATGATGATCAGCTGAAGTCTTATAATTCATGAACCCAAGAAAACTAGTCCTGGTCTGGCCCCTAGTAATGCGAGTTTAATTGAATGAATCGCATTGAGAACGCAAGATTTTCACTTTTCTTTTAACCATTCTTGGTTTCTGTCCCTGCTCATCAAACCCAAAGCCACCTTAAGTTTCCTTTCAGGTCTCACTCCGCTCAACTCTTCCTATTTGTTTTGCATCTGAGCTCTGAACCCCCCACCCAGGAACCCTAACTCCCTTTTCGTCCACTGTGCAAAATTAAGGCAAGAAAATTTAGGAAGCCCAAGTGCTAGTAAGGTAATCCAAGTCAACTATTTTTTGTATGGATTATGTTTGTTTTGCATCATCTTCATGTGTTTTCGTCTGGTGTGCATTTGGACATTTGTTTAAATTTTAGCTCCTGTGGTTGTCTGATCAATTGCATGCATTCCTTTTTGTATAAATGTATAATAAGTTTGAATCGACTGAAGATTTAGGTTCAGTTCAACTAGGATACGATGTAATTGGTTGCTATTGAAACTGGGGAATGTTTAGAAAATTAGTCCGTTCAAAGTTGATGTCCTTAACTTAAAAAGTGGCTGAAATTTTCTATGCTGCAAGTTTTGTTGTTCACTATTCTGGATTCGTGTACTTACCATAACCGAATGAACAGTTTCTAGTGGCTTGTGGCTGCTCATTAGGCTCTACATTGCATATTTGTAAGACAGAGTCTGTCTTTTCCTTTCTGTACTCGATTTTGTAGTTCTCTAGGACAAATTTTAGATTGCAGAGATTTCTTTGTTTGGATTTCATTGTGATCCAGTAAAAGAACTTTTCAATTGTAATCTCCTACCCTGCCAAACGTTGTTGATAAAATATCCACTATCTAGCCATTCATCTTCCATGTGATTGATTGACGGATTGTTGGTTGATGTTTATATTAGTTACAACATATTACTTATTATTCTTCCTTATCATTTTTTCTTTTGTTGTAACCCATGTAAACTTCAGAGTGCCCCGGCCCCTGCCCCACCCCCGCCCCCGCAGCCGGGAAAAAACAACACCGAAGAAAAAAGAAAATAAAAAACACTCCATATCCCCCGTCAAGCACGATATTCAAATGTTTTTATTTCTGGTTTTAATGATGAAATTGTCTCTTGTACATGTAAATAGTCAGTTCTTGTTTCAGAAGTCATTTGTGCCTTTGTCTGTCAGTGATCTTTCTTGTTTGGATTGTCATCATGCTGATAAGATGAATCTGCCTGCTATGCCTTCCCCCCCCCCCTTCTCTGCGCTTATAAACTGTTTTATAATTCTTTTTGGCTGACAAGTAAAGGTCCTACATTTCATGCACCAGGTTCATTTTTGTATCTTTGAATGTGATGGGAGGCTCGGTAGACCATAGTTCAGGAGAAGATACTGATATAAGTGAATCTGAAATTGAAGAGTATGAAGACAAATCATATCAAGCATTAAAGAGTGGAAAAAAGGAAGTTAAGGTATCTGATGGGGCTTTCACTTGCCCTTACTGCCCAAAGAAAAGAAAAGCAGATTTCCTTTACAAGGACATATTGCAACACGCGAGTGGGGTTGGGAGTTCTACTTCAAAGAAGCGAAGTGCACGAGACAAAGCAAATCATCTTGCGTTGGCAAAATACTTGGAGAAGGATATGTCGGTCACTGCTGGTCCATCACAGGCTACAGTCGAGGTGGATCCCCTAGCAGATCATGATCGTGATGAGATGTTTGTGTGGCCCTGGATTGGCATTGTTGTTAATCTTGCTACTGACTTCAAGGATGGGCGCTATGTGGGTAAAAGTGGTTCCAATCTTAGGGATGAGTTGACAAGCAGGGGTTTCAATCCTACTAGAGTGCGCCCTTTGTGGAATTACCAGGGCCATTCAGGCACTGCTCTTGTGGAATTTACCAAAGATTGGTTTGGATTTAAAAATGCCATGTCATTTGAGAAAGCATACGAGGCTGATCGTCATGGAAAGAGAGATTGGATGGCTAATAATACTCTAAAGTCTGATCTTTATGCTTGGGTTGCTCGTGTGGATGACTACAAGTCTGATGGCATCATTGGAGAGAACCTTCGTAAGATTGGAGACATTAGAACCATCTCAGATATCATTGAAGAGGAAGTTAGGAAGACAAGTAAGCTGGTGAATAATCTGACAAATGTTATTGAGGTGAAGAACATGCAAGTAAAAGAGATGGAAAGCAAGTTCCAGGAGACTGAGAGTTCTCTAGGCATTTTAATTGAAGAAAAGAATAAGCTTCATCAAGCCTACAATGAAGGTATCACAGTTGCACTTCTTTGACAGAGAAGAGTTTTATAGGCTTTAAAATTGTTAAATCCTTTTTTGTTTTCTCTAGAATTAAAGAAGCTTCAATCTACTGCTCGGGAGCATTTCCAAAAGATTCTCAGTGACCATGAAAAGATGAAGTCACAACTGGAAAACCAGAAAAAGGAACTTGAACTCCGGGGTAAACAACTGGAGCAACGAGAAGCTCAAAATGAAAGTGATAGGAAAAAGCTGTTAGAAGAGCTAGAAGAGGTGAACATAATTGCTTTAGTTCTCTTCTTCTCTTTTTCCTTTACATAACATGTTTCAAGACCTCAATATGCAATCAATTCCTTTCCTTGTCACATTCGAAACCAGGTTACACTTCATGTGAGTAGTGCCATCATAACAGGTGATAAGAGTTAATATACGGGCTTAGAATAATTCCATGACACAATATGCTAGTTCATATACAGCACTAATTGGTATCTAGGAAGCGAAATTAGTTCAAATATCCCAGCAATTGGTATCTATGAACTTAGTTTGCATTCCTACTTGACAGACTCTTCCACTAACCTTTATCTTTATTTGCATGATACTTTTTGTGCTCATGGAGGGAAATAGTTTATAGCCTTTATGGTCAAGAGGGGGTTGATGATTGTATAGGAGCAGAATTTAGTGGCAGAGCAGGGACAGTCATGGCGGGCAATTCCTTTACTTGATATGCCTTAAGATGGTAATGCTGGCATGAATTCGCATTTAATGATTAGAGACAAACTTGGTGAAATTATAAGAAAATAATATAAGTTAATGTTCTATAGCTGAGACACTGTTATAACATCTTCAATCTCTGTTTTAGGAAATAACAAATGAAAATAGAAAATAGTTGAACTAAGGAATGGCACACAAGCTGAACTTTCTTTTGGCCCTTGCTGTTCCCCCAAATAAAACGACTGAAGGACTGCAATGCCCATTCCTTCCCTTCCCACTCCTTCGCAATTTGCCTTCTTTTTGTTCTGTTGAGTCTTGAACAGCATCAGTTAAGATGTCTTCCTTATTCTTTTGGGATAAATACAAAAAAGCCCCCTATGGTTTCAAAACATACAAAACGACGCCTTATGTTTTGAATTAAATTGTAAACTAACAGAATTCGTTAAACTTAACGATAATGATGGTCTCGGCCGTTAAACTTACCGGATTCCGTTAAGTTTACCGTTAAATTTACCGGATTCTGTTAAGTTTTTCGTTTAATTTACCGGATTCCGTTAAGTTTAACGAATTATGTTAGTTTACAATTTAATTCAAAACATGAGGTATCATTTTGTATTTTTTGAAACCACCGGGGGGGCTTTTCTGTGTATTAGGCATACTATAGGAGACTTTTTTGTTTTTAACCCTATTCTTTTTTATCATATTAATGGAATTTGTTGGAAGCAGTTTATTATTCGCTGATTGATCGGAGTCAAGATATACAACTTTTTGTGCTGATTTTCAGTAGTTACTACGATAAATCATTGAAGAATGCTCATCTTCTTCTCTCCAGAATGCGGCCCAAAATAGTTTAATTGATGCTGCATCTGAGGAGCAAAGGAAAGTTGATGCCAAAGTATTGAAATTGGCTGAAGAACAGAGGGTATACTTTTAAATCATTTTCAGTATCTCTTTTCTTGCTAATTAGAATTGATTTATTCTAAAATGTTCAACAATTAATAAGAGATCATATGAGTGAGTTTTTGTTTTTTCAGAAGCAAAAGGAAGAATTGCTCAATAGAATTATTCAACTGGAAAAAGATCTGGATACAAAACAAGCGTTGCAGCTAGAAATTGAACGTTTGAAAGGTACAATAAATGTTATGAAGCACATGGGAGACGAAGGTGATCTGGAAGTCTTGCAAAAGGCTGACTCGCTGAACAAGTTGTTGAGAGAAAAGGAAGGAGAACTTGAGGATTTTGACAGGTTGAATCAGACGCTGATAGTTAAGGAACGGAAGAGCAATGAAGAGCTGCAGGATGCTCGAAAAGAATTGATTAATGTAATTCTTTGTCATTTTGATGTCTTATTATTCTGATTACTATTCTAGATTCAATTATTCGGGGGGCATCTATAATAGGGATCTCTTTCAGGTTAGCAACAGAGATAATGGAAACTTGAGAATGATGTGAAATAACTTTCCCCCCTAAAAACAGACAACGAAAAAGGAAATTAGTCTTTATGCATGTGAAATAAGGTGGTTGGTAATTTTTGCTGTCTGATATAACTGATGCAAGACACTTGGTGACTAGTGAGTTTTTAAATTATAAACTTTTGGCTCTTACATTCTTCTCTCTATCTGTCATAAGAGTAAAGGTGAACTCAGCAATTTTTGTCTTCTCCCTTTTTTTTTTTTGGATTTTCCGTGGCATTTCTTTTCTTTCGTTTTGCTGTGGATGGGAGGCTGTGGTTATAGACTGTAGAATGTTAATCATTTCAGCTCTGTATACATGTTAAGGCTGATGATTTTGACTACTTCTGTTGGTGGTGCCTGGAATTTGATTCTACATTATTGTAGAGAGTTTGGTTGGTTTATTGATCAGATCCGAGGCTTTGCAGTCTGATTATTTAGATGCGTTTCAGGGCTTGAAAGAATATCCTAATTCAGCATATATTGGTATAAAGAGAATGGGTGAACTCGACAATAAACCATTTTATGAAGCCATGAAGCTAAAATATAAACATGAAGCAGATGCCGAGGAAAGGGCTTCTGAACTGTGCTCATTGTGGGATGAGTACCTTAAAGATCCTGAATGGCATCCTACAAAAGTCATACTTGTTAATGGGAAACATGAGGTACGCAATTTATCAAATATGCATTTCTTTTGTACTTATTTTATTGCTTTCTTATTTTCTTTTGTACCCGTGTAGCTTCCTATTGTCCTGGTGGTAACCAGAGCCAAAATCATCCAAACTTTTTTATTACCAAAAAAAAAAAAAAAAAAAAAATCCATGGTAGACATCCCACCAGAGAATTTGTATGCGGTTGGGATGCTTCATCAGTGGAAGGGTGGTAGTTGTAGTTGCTATTTTTCAGCTTTTACTTATACGTGCCTTGACCTTACCGGATCCAAACCAAAATGACACTGCAAACTGGGAAATATTCTTTAGCTTAGTCCAGATGATGGAATTCCTCATGCATGGTGCAAAGGTCTTGTTGAAGATCTGAATTTTCTCTTAGTACACCATTCTCAACTGAATCATATCTACGTTGTTTTGATAATAGTAACCTTTTTTACAGTGTAGATTTATCTAAAGAAACAGTCATTTGTTAGTACAGTCTCTGAAAGAGGGAAAAGAAAAGGCATATGATGCTGACAACTTCTGCTCGGATAACTGTTGATGCATCTTCAAGCTTATTACATGCACTTGTTCTTTTAATTGACTTTTCGTTCATGAAACAAATTTAATGTACTTGCTTCACTTTTTCTTCCTAATGGTTGCGATATTCTAATGCTGATTACTGGTGTAGGAAGTAATAGATGAAGATGATGAAAAGCTGAACGACCTGAAAGAAAAGTACGGCCATGAAGTTTACAAAGCAGTGACAACAGCTTTCATGGAGATAAATGAGTACAACGCAAGTGGGAGGTATATTACTTCGGAATTGTGGAACTACGCTGAAGGTAGGAAAGCTACTTTGAAGGAAGGAGCTGCGTTTCTGCTGAAGAAATGGAAGCTGCACATGGAAAAAATGCAGAGATAGACCCGACCGATTGAAAGTTGTGATTTGTCTGACAATTGGGAAACTGTTGTGCCTTAATTTATTCAGTCTTCTTGACCATGTAAAACCCAACTTCTAATGACCAAATAATTGAACTTTCATGCACGGTTGCGTGCAGTCTGCTCATCATCTGTTACTTCTTGTTTTATCGTGTAAGATGATTTATGAAGAGCAATTCAAGGACCACATTCAAAATAGTTGCTGGGATGGATGTGGGTGTTGTTGCAAATTACAAGGGATTGGGAAAGTCCTACTTTTCGCCAATGATCTTGCGAGATGTCTGGGAATCAATACCTTGAAATTGACAGCCATTGAAGTAAATTGCGAAGAATCCAAAATGTGCAGAGTTAAAAAGAGAATTACATTTCAGAAACTGGGAACGAGATGCGACGCGTTGAAAACAAGAAGCAGATGAGACGGGTTCAAAACATTGAACAGTCTGATTTAAGACGAAGGCACGAAGTGTTCAGTTTCGTTTGGGAGTGAAAGATTTGGATAGAAAAGAAAGGAAAAGAAGAGAAAGTTTACTTTTGCTTCATTTGTTAGTTTCAAGTTGGAAAGAAAAGAAAAGAAATGGAAAGATGAATAGTTAAAAAAAAGCTTCCTCCCAAATCGGAAAGAAATGGGAAGAAAGTTTGGAGAAAGCTTGATATTTTTTTTAAAATGCCTATTTTGTCCTTAAAAAGGTTTTGAACAAATATTTAATGATTTCTATGTCCAAAATCATTCCACTAATTCTTAAAACTCCCAAACCACTTGGGATCCTCGGTGACATGTTTTCTATGCCAACCCAATGCCACCAATAGTATTGCGCCAAGTGTCTTGTTATTATTTATATTTGTGTTAAATCAAACCAAGTTGAATTATTAAAAAATTAAAGTGTAATTAATAACAAAACACTTGGCGCAACACTATTGGTGGCATTGAGTTGGAATAGAAAACATGTCACCGAGGATCCCAAGTGCTCCCAAACAACATAACAATCTCTTCCCTTCTCTTCTCTTCTTTCATAACTTAAGCTTCCCTTCTTTTCTTTTCTATCCTAAACTCCCAAACTAAGCCACTTGGTTTGTTAGAGGCTTAAAAGAGGTTCGACATTTGCCAAACTGCCACATGAATACATACAGGTGGTGGGAGGTGACACGAGTGAATGTAGGGGGCCACCATTGATGATGTGGCAATTTAAGTTATTTTCCATGTCACTGGACCTCCGAACGACTGCGGTCTGTTCGCTTTTGATGGACTCTTGGCAAAAATTTGCGTACGCGTGCTACGTCAATTTGCAGTACAGATTCGTCTTTTTGACAGCATGTGCATGTTTCCTAGTATTTTAAAATTCCCGGTTACAAGTTGAAACTACAGAGTCTTATATGCTAATAAAAAACCGTCATGGCTTGAAAAGATTTTGTAATTGTTTTCTTAACTAAATAAATGAATAAATCTATCTATATCTATATGTATTCAGGAAGGAATTTTTAGCAAAAACCCTCTCAATGACTTCTAAACTTCTCATTCTTTTTTCTAGATTTTTGTATTTATTTTAATACATAAAATGTAGTAAGTTATAACCCACCTTATCACCCATCAATATTCCCACTATCTCACTCCCACTATCCCACTATCTTAACTCATCTTACTATATCACTCCTACAAATTCTCTATTCCCACTATCCCACTATCTCACTCCCACTCTCTCTCAGTTTCTTATTTATTTTTGGTTCTCTATTCATATTGTAAATGTATTAATTTTGTTTCTTTTATGAGCAGTAGTGAAAGATATTATGTGCAGAGACTTCAGCAGAAATCAACCTTCTTGCGGAGAATTGGAAGTATATTCTTGCCAGCTTAATTTTCCAGGTCGGTCCCTCTGCCTTTTAAGTATGTTTTGCTTTTGCTTTGCTTTTTGTCATGAATGATATTGCATTGATTTTCTGATCATCTATTATTTTTGAAAATTTTTTACAAAATCCTATAAACGGTTGTTTGCTTATTGTTACACTGTAAAGCAAAGATACTCAATAGTGGGATAAAGTATAAACACAAAATCACAATCACATTTCTAACATAAGGTATTGCTTTCTTATATAATTGCGGATGGTATAGGTTCATGATTGAGGGTTTTACTATTTCTAACATAAATTGTATATTATAAAAATTTCTTTTGTTTGTATTATTGAAGTTTTTTTAATTATTTTTTATTACACATTTATCACATAAAAAAGGTGTTACGATAGCAGAGGGAATGAAACAATTAGCGACATGTGAAAAAATCGAAAAGGACAAAAGCAATTAGAGGGATAATTTCGCACAAAATTCGTGGTTAAAGTGCAATTTGAGGTATAGATGGGAGGCATTTTAGTGCATTTATTGGTTTGTTTTCAATAAGTGGTGGTTGATTTTGCGGGGTTTGGGGGGTCTACATGTACCAAAATATATTTATATAGGGATTACTTCATTAACTATGGGTGCTAATAACAATTCTATTGGTGCGTAATTTTCATTTGATTACAACACAATTGTATTAAATTCTATTGATGCTACTTCTATATTAACTATTGTATTTTTTTGTTAACAATTCTCATACAATGTATCACTTACTACACATAAAATAAATACAAAAACTATTTATTTTTTATTTAATATATTTTTTTCTAGATGAAAGAAATGAAAATATTGCCTCTCTTCAAGTTCGACAGCCATCCGCATCACCAATACTTTTGCATGATCATAGTAAATATGCAGTTTTTAATATTGTCAAAGATCGTGCATTTTCATTTGTAGTATGCACTCCACAAAATTCAACATAGTTAATTAAATCATCAATTTTGACTTTCATACTAAAAGTGGATTGGTGTGAAGAGTGTTCGCACCTTCAAGAAAGATTATCAAATCGAATGCTTATCAAATCGAATGTTTAGTATTTGTAAGTATTTCATTTTAACAACATTCATTTGTAGAAATATATCATTTACTTTTTTAATATAAATTTTAATTTTTTTTTCAGGATCCATCTTCCAAAAAAAGACAGTTCTTGAACGATATACACATTCTATTATATTTCAAACTATTGTTAAACAGATATTACATTTAAATTTGGTTGGTTCAATTTTTTCATCTTTATTTGTTCATCATTTTATTTTTTTCAATAATGTCAGCACCGTGCGTAGCACGAATATTCACACTAGTAATAATGTAACGTAGCTTATACCAACCCTCACCCTGTCATCCGGGAAGGATTCAGGAAGGACGGGAGCCCATGATGAATTTCTTGAAAGTTCATTTCAGCTGCTAAATGTCCCGTACATCGATTAGTTTTCACATCTTGGGATTTTGTGGCGAAGGGGAGAAAGCATAAGGGACGCTGGGGAATTGGCTGAAAAAGAACAAAGAGAGAGAAAATCAAATGGAGAAAGGCAATGGTACTGGTGTTACTGGTAATCCCATGATTGTTGAAGAACTCAAGAACGCGCGACGTTTTGCAGTGAGCCTGGCCCGAGAAGTTGATGCAAGAACCAAATGTTGCTTGAAATTCGGCGCCAGAATGACGAGGCTTCAGCTGCTCTCTCCAGGGTCGTTGCCCAAAAACAAAAGCTTCAGCAATCTTATGGTCAAGGTAACTAAATAATACCCCCCCCCTTTCTCCAGTGAATATACTGGCTGCTGTCGAGATATCTTTTTTCTATTATGTTAAATGGGATTTTTGAAATGTTTGTGGAGACATTGATGAATCGACTATTGTTTATAAGAGTCTTTGGGTTCGTCTTATGCTTGCTAATGCCAAGGGCTGCCCTTTTCTTTGTGTTTATGGCTTTACGCTTCGTATCACCTTTGTAACTGGTATCATGACCTATAGTTAATACCACCTTTTTTGACTGGTATCTTAATTACGCGCATTCTCAGTTGACAACTAAAAATTGCTATCTCGGTTGACATTTTAGATATTGTCCGTCCATTTTTGACTGATATCATACTATTAATTCACTTACAGGACTAGATAATTGCTTTAGGTTGGTAAATAATATTGTGAACTGCCCTCGTATTCTAAGTATCCGAAATATATGTTGTTGTAGTTCAGGATTTCAAACAAAGCCGTCAAGATTGCTAATTGATATTTTTGTTTTCATAAAATACATAATTTGTCGAGCAAATGCAGCAAAAGAGTTTTGGAGGAAATGAATTAAATCAGATTTACACTGGCCCATGTAAAATGCATCTGGAAGCTATTGAATGATTAGAACAAGATAATTTTGCAGAATTGTCTTTGTTATTAGGGTATACAGAAGGCTAGTGGAGCTTGCTAATAGACTATTGAGCATCTCAGCTTAATTTATAGAATCCAGAGGAGCAACTGTTTTTTGCTGCAGACCTCTGTTTTTTCTTTTTCTATGAATGCAATGTGTGGATCCTTTCTATCAAGAAACTATTTTCCTGTGTTGTTTCTGTCGTAGAAACTTGTGTGTAAACTCTGCTATGTGTAAAACTAGTATTTGGAGTTTGACAAAAAAGAAAAGAAAAGTTAAAAGTATTCAGAAATGCAAAAAGCTGCCTGACTCTCTATCCAACCTCTTATTTGGCAACTAGTCTTTGATGTGATACATTGTTACTCAACTTCACTACTGAGATTTCTTTGCTATTTGTAAATTTGATTCATGTAGTTTCGCACTAAAATCATTCAGTATCATGTCCTTTTTTATAGCCAGCAGTTAATTCTTTTTGGGACTGCACAGTACTGGAAACATGTTCTAGCTCATGTTGATCATCTTAAAGCATATTTTGTGTTTCTTAGTTCTGTTCCCACATCCTCACCTTTGTCATTGATGAAAAACAGAGAAGTGACAGTTGACTTGATCTGTATACATGTCTAAACGGCGTCTTGCAATGTTAGTTGGTGTACTTTGTAACGACACTCCCTACAATGTTCTTATGTACTTTGTAGTGATGAGGAAGTTGCATCTGAATGAATCAGAAATGGCAAAGATGAGGTGCAGCTTGAACTTGCAACTGAGAAATTTTGGGATGCAAAACACAAGTCTGAGGCAAGAATTGGCAAGCATGCAGGAAGAACTAGCAACTCTAGCAAAGCAGGACAAAAAACAGAGCCAAGGTGACCTTGAACCCATAAATTTACTTGTGGAGAAGGACAAGGTACAGCTGTTCAGTTTCAGATTCTGTTCATAGTTTGTGTCTAATGAGCATCTCGTGCGGGAATGGAGGTCAGGCAAATAGGTAGCATAGTGTCACATAAAGGAAACAGAGAAAGTGAGAAACTAACTATTAAAATGTGGTAGACAAACCGGTTGCATGGTCTCCATGTTCAATTCTTCTACCAGATATCTTTCTTGTCTTTTTTGGCCTTATCCTTGAGAGATTGGGGTCCCGGGCAGTATAACAAACTTAACGCATAAAGAAATGAGGAATAGAACTAATCAGGTTTTGATCATCATTGGTTGTAAATGATCTGAAATATACAGAATGATGTCATTTGAGGCTTGAGTAGACACTCAGTTTTATTACATTCCTGTTGGGTAACAAATGCACTACAAGTTGTTTGTTACTGTGACGTTGTAAGCATTCTTTCCATCATTATCTTGCAACATTTAAGTTGGCCATTTTAAGAGGCAGAAGCCTTCATGATACAGCCCTTTCTGAACTCTTGAGCTCTTATACTTTATCTTAGATATGATGTTCAAACTTGTATGTCCAATTGGAATGCTAACACATTTTGGTTCTTTATTCTAATCTTTATATTTAAACTTCATTCCTTATTTTATTATTGTTAGCATTTCTTGAATGCTTGAAAAACTTCTGCTGCTTTTTATGTTTGCTATTGCATGAGTAGGTTAACATTGTGATGCCTACATACATAAAGCCAATTCTTACTTGAAACCTGTCATCTTAGTGGCTAAGTTTTTTTAAGACATGATTGTACATCGATTACTGGTATTTTAGCTCGATTGTTGCAGTTGAAAAATCAAGAAATCGAAGAACTAAGCAGCAAATTGGCTGAAAAAATTGATGAAGTTCAAGACATGGAAGCTCTGAACCAAGCACTTATTGTGAGGGAGCACATAAGTAATGAAGAGCTACAGGACGCTCGCAAGGAATTAATTAGTGTAAGAATTTGATGTCTTTTTAATCAGAAGATTTAGTTAGACAACATTAAAGTTGATAAAAGTTCCTTAGTTGAATCTTTTCTCTGGATTCCTTGTGTAATTTGAGGTTTAGACAGACACATCTGGCACTGGTCATACAGGTTTTGCCTACTCTTCTAGATGGACAAAGTATTGGGGTTAAAAGGATGGGAGAAATTGATGTTGATCCATTCAAAGTTGCTTGCTTACGTAAATTCTCTGGGACGAATGGATGGTGAAGTCACTGGAACTCACCTCAGTGTGGCAAGCAAAGGTTAATGATCCAAAGTGGCAGCCTTTTAAGAAGATGCTAAAAATGGAAAATGCCAGGTCTGTTTCCTTTTCGTCACAAACTCTTGCTGACCTTCTGACTTTCTCTCCCACACCAATTTGCTGATGAGCACGACTTTGATCCAGTCTCCTTTATTGCTGCTAGATGATAAGCCTGTACATGCTGGACATATATCAATCAAGCTGTAGTTGATGTTAACACAATCGTATTCTTCTGTCTTGGATTAGTTGAAATTGGTATGCTATATTATTGCTTGAATGGTAAGCGACTGTCCATATGGGGAGAGCGAAGGCAATATCAAAGAAATTGTTGTATGGATGAAACTATACTTGCTTTAACACTATTTTATTTTTCTGTCTAAATTATTTGAGATTTGGCCTATTATTGTTGGTAATAGTGTGTGTTCATAGTGGGTTGAGAGTTAGGATATAGTCAAAAGCATTGCTAGTGGACTCATTTTGAGTTCAAGAAATGAATTCTGCCTCTAATTTCTTTAGACCCTGCTGAGAACATATTATGTACTTCTTAAATTTCTTCTTTCCTGGTCAAGTTATTACCCAAGTTTGGATACTAGACTTTGATTAGGGTGGAAAAGTCATGAGACTGCTTCTTGGATTGGAATGCAACCAAAAATTTGTTTCTGTGACTGACTCTTATGCGGGAGAGAGAGCATGCTAACGAGCAATAACAAATACATATTTGATTCTTCTAGTGTCTCCATTACCTTTATCTTACTGCGAATGTGGAAGGCGCCATTGCAAGTTTATGTCTTGGCGATGCAGGAAGTGATTGATGAACAAGACAGCAAGTTGAAAGAATTGAGAAGCCAGTGGGGTGAGGGTGTATACAATGCAGTCGCAAATGCTTTGTTAGAACTGAACGAGTACAATCCAAGCGGGCGGTATGCAGTTTCAGAGCTTTGGAACTTCAAGGAGGGCAGAAAAGCTAGTCTAAAAGAGGTGATCCAATGCTTAGCTCAACTGTTGAAGACTCTCAACTCCGCGAAACGGCGGAGGCGAGTGTCAACATGAATACCAAATGCCACATGATTATGTAGGAGCTGAGAACAGGATCCAGTAATGTCTTCTTTTAAAGTAATTTTCCGCTGATCCATTTGGACTTTGCGAATGGCTTTTCTTAGAGGTGCAGAACTGCTGCTGCCGGCTGTCTGAGCATTCAAAAAGGATGTCCATTACTAGTATAATTTATAAGGTAGAAGAACCAACCTCTTGGTCATGGAAGTACATGTCTCTGTTTATATGAAATTGGTGTTTCAGCATTAAAACTCTTGTCATTCCTGGCAATTCGTAGAGAGTGGGTGCATATATTTTACTTCTTGCTGGGGATACACCATATAGCTTCTAGAATACAAGTAAACTTTGGCCATCATATTAACAATTTATCTTGAGCCACTTGAAACGTAACATATGACGATTAACCTCCGATGAAACCTTACCCAAGCGTCAGCCAAACCTGTAAAAGCCACCACAATCAAAGTGGCTTAATGTCCTCGAGGCCAAAAAAGAGAAGGATTTTAATGCTAAATTCTTCTGGTTTTTTGGGAGGAAAAATTATCAGTTTTAATTGTTCCAAACAATGTACTACTAAGTATTGGATACATTGTGAGCATCAACTAACCAAACAAAAATACATTTCTTTTTAAGTTTGTTCACGAGCAGTAAATCAAAATTCAAAGCCATACACTTCTACAAAATTCATTTTTAGGCCACTGCCAATATAAATCACAACGGTTTGATTCTGATGATTCCTGCCCATCCTCTAAATGCCCTCCAGCTTAACTGGTGGGTCTCAAAATCTAACGGGGCCCAAATCCCATTTGACTCTAGACCTTCCTTCCTTGCTGTTGGTCCGTTACTCCTTGCCCAATTTGAGATCATCGGGTCAGCAATTTTGGACCTGGAGGAAGGAGTCTAACATGTAAATGGGCTGCCAGATTCCAAAATTTTCGAGGCTTCACCCGTCACTTTTCGGCATGCACACGGAATTACAAAAACGCCGCGTATCGGCCGTCATGAACATATGGATCGTGACTCGGACGAGAACGCTTTTCGTAAACCATCGGTTCTGCCACCGAGAACTTCGCAAGTAAAGCAACTTTACTAATGCTGGTCAAGTTTCGACTTCTCTTTCGAGGTTGGTACCTCAGCTCAGCATCATTTTCAGAAGCTCCTCCGCATTTTTTCTGTTTTTCTTCTTACATTTGCTCCAAGCTCGTTTTTAAACTAAGTTCAGCACGATATAATATATAAGCTCCGCACAAAGGTACAGCTTCTTGGCAATTATGTAGCAGTATTATGTTAAATTACATGGAAGTTGCGATTTCACAAAGTAGCTCTGAGCTATGGTCGCTGTGCAGTTCTGGTTGAGAATAATCGGTTAATTCTAGTTTTATGCTTTCATATTAAGTCTTCTTAAGTAGGGAAAATGTGGGACAAGTACAGGGCTTGTTAGCATGTTGATTAATGTCTAAAGCTTTGTTCTGGTTTTAGCTTACTGAACTCATCTGATGCATGAAACCAATGATGGTTCAGAATCATGCAGTATTACATATTTGTCTAAGAGGTTTATGAACACATAATTTTGGATGGATTGGTATACTTTTAGAGGCTATTCCTACTTTTCCACTTTGAATATGTGAATAACAGATTTCAGGGTCGTATTATTCTTTAGAAGTTATGAGCAAATGTTGTTAAAATATCTTTGATTGGATATGAAATTAGACCTACTGAGGTCAGTGAGAAAAAAGCATCATATACCTTTCTAGATTCTAAGTTGTCTTACGTACCTGCAATTCTATGGAGAAGAAACAACTTGTGTTATTATAATATGTATCAGGGTCTGTAATGATATATAGCTGTTTCACTTGTCCGTTTGGAAGTTATAGGCTTCATGACAAGATCTTGGCTCTGCTTGGTAAAAGTAAAACTGCGGATACCAAGTATCTCTTGATTCTTCAATACCAGAGTGCTAGAGTCCCATCCAAGTTTTCAGCTCTACTTCAGTGCACCAAGATATTAACTACATGGAGAGCATGGTAAGTTTGAGCAAATGATGCCAAATTGCCAATTCCCGTGTTCAAAAAAAAGAAACCTAAGTTTAGAATAATGTATACAAGTGTGACTTTTATTAATCTCAATTTCTTGCAAATTCTCAGAATGGCACCAAAAAGAGATATTGGTTGGGAGCACGCTGAGCCAGGGGGGGGATAAGAAAATTGTCCAATGCCGTTACTGTGGGAAGATTATACATGGGGGAATAACTAGATTGAAACAGCACATTGCTCACATTGCTGGACAAGTGGGAGCTTGTCCTGGATCTCCTCCAGATGTGACATTGGAATTGAAGAAGCATCTAAATGATGGGAAAAGCGAAAGGGCAACAATGAAAAAGAGAAAGGCAGCAGCTCTCAATGCTTTCTACAATAGAAGTTTGTGTGGGTACATGCATGCTACTGATGATGAGAATGATGATGAAAGTGAATGTGATACTCTTGAAGATGAATTGTTATCTTTGGAAAAAATGCAACTTATGTTAGCCATGGAAGAGAGTCGTCAAACGGCTCTAATTGAGGAATTACACCACAAGAGTCATGTTTCTAGATCCCGCCCTGTTACAGTAGGTTGCGGTCGAAGTTTGTCTACTGAGGCGAATGTTATTAACTGCAATGACGATGATGATGGGCAGGATATTGATCAGAAGGGTTTGTCAGATATGGAAGTAAAGCAACTTAAGCAGGCCTTGAAAGAGAGCCGCTACACGGCTTTTCTGGAGGAAGAACAACGTAAGAGATCTGTTTTTGGAGCATGTCCTGCTCCAGCATCTTGGGCTGGAATTTCCTCTTTTTCCATAAATAGAAAAAAAACAGTAATTTACAATTGCAAGTTCACTTCTATTACAGTCTACCTATATATATTTCCAAAATCCGTGAAGCAAGGCTCAGCCTATTCATAAGCCACCCCTTATTCAGACTCATAGATCTGACTGGAGCTTAAGAACCTTCTAGCTATCTTAAGTTAGTTACTTTTCCTTCCCAGTGTGACTATACCATGTTGACATTTTGAATGGTGCCCCTTGTATCTTAGAGCATAAATTCAAATGCTTTTCTGCTGTTTTTTTTTTTTCAGGAAACTGCAGCACTTCTTCCAGCTTTAGTGGCAAGGATGGTGAAAGCCTGGAACAGATAGCACCTCTTGTATATTTCCGGCAGAGGAAAAATCTATAAAGAGTATTTTTCTAAACTCAAATATTTAAACCAATTTGGTGAGGGAATGGAAATGTTGTTATCTTCACACAAATGCACACAACATGTTTTACTTTGTCCTTTTTTTTTGGCTGAGGCCACATTATCTTGAGAGAAGGCGTTACTATGACTTAGCTGGAAGAAAGTCAGCCCAATTAAATTACTATTGTCACAGATCATATTGTCAGAAGGCCCTTAAGGCTGTCAACTCTGTGTATTTCAACGATGTGGAAGTGGGAAAAATTAGCTGCAGGTACAATGATTGATATATAAAAAAAAAATCATCAGTATGTTTTAGTCTAGACTAACAACAAGAGAAGGATATAAAGTTCCAGCAATACAATAGCAAAGCTAAACACCTAATCATCAATTTTGTAATGTCTTGCAAGAAGCATGGTAGATTTCATACACCTCCATATTTTACAGTTCTCCATATCTTGTAAAAAAGGTGTGGGTGATGGAGGTCAGTACTTGAAGGCTAAAAGGTTTATGCTTTGTGAAAGCTTAAAAATTTATGCATGAAGAAGCAATGAATCTTTCACTTAAGCCAAACAGTACTGTTCCCCACAGCTAACATGGACTATAGGAGATGTGTTGGTACTTTTGTGCTTCTTTGACAAACAGGATAACTGAATAGCTTATAGCAATCTCCTGGATATCACTATAGATAGCAGTAAATTTACATAATAACTCTGCATATTACGTTTTTCCTTGATTTGAGAGATTCACTGCAAGTTCATCATTTTAACAAAGTAACATTCTCAGAATTTCATTGACAAACTGTTGCAAAAGTTTTGACAAGTTTCTGTATGATCTGAACTGCATTTTATCCAAACAACTGATTTCTTAACATTTTATTTCAGAAGTCTCCAAGCGTTAAAATGAATTCAAGAGTTCATCTGCTCCAAGGTTATTATATTCTATAAATATATGTTCTGCAGAGTGAAACCTAACAAAAAGAATCATGAAGAGATGCATTTTTAAACTTGGTAGATTGTGGCTGCTGATATTGTCTTTCTGTTGGTAAAATCTATTATACAGCTTCCAGAAGTGCTCAGTAGTTAATCATTTCATGTAGTGCACTTTTTCAGAATTGAGGAAGATGCAACAGATTAGTCTACAAATTAAAATCTTGAGGCGTGAATTGGACCATCAAAGAAGGAAGATGCATCTTGCAGAGCAAGGAAATGAAAGGCTGATGGGAGACTTGGTGCATATACAGAAAGAATTGAATCATCAAATAAAGGATAGAGAAAAGAGCCAAGCTGAGCTTGAACACAAAACTTTACGCATTGAGAAGGAACAAGTAAGCATCTTGAACACACAGACATACACACCTACAAAAAAGTGTGTTTGTGTGTGTGTGTGATTTTTTTCCTTTTTTGTGCACATGTCTCTATGTGTAGTATAATTCCTTTTTTCCTTCTGTGACTTTTAAATTATACTGTACTATTGTAACTTATGAAATCCATTGCAATAATTCCTTGTGTGACTTTTAAATCCTACTCTTGAAATCCATTTGCAAGTTGTTGGAAGGAGGTGAGGGAAGATCACTGTAAAGTTGCATGTCACTATGAGGAGCCTTTATTCTTTGTCCATATGGGCAACTCTAATTTGTGAAGAAATGGTTTTCATAACTGTTCTCTGATTTCAATAGATTGGTTACATGCAGCTTTAAGTAGCTAATAACACGTGTCTTTCGAAACTGTCTACAATCTTTTGACTGCTTCTTATTCGGCATTCTCTTAGTTTGGCTATGTCCTATTAGCCCAGAATTGCTAGGATGGGAATGTATAAAATCTTCTGCTTGCTTTAGTTACTGGGAGCTCTGTTTACATGCAAGCTCATGATATCTTATGCAGGGCCTTTCAAATTATTTCAATGCCAAAACTTGTTCTCTTGGCATTTACATGATTTAACTGAGACTAAAACCAGCCATTGTTGAAGAGTTTTTTTTGTTGGGTCCCAGATATAACTTTATTTTTTAATTCCAGTTTTTTTATTTTTCATTAAACTAGAATCCCACTATTTTTTTGACACAGCTGATAGCTCAGATTGACGTACTGAAAAAGACATTGGCTGAAAAGGATGATGAGCTTCAGGATATGGAAGCTCTAAACCAGACACTAATACTTAAAGAGCGATCAAGTAACCTTGAGTTACAGGATGCACGAAAAGAATTGACAAGTGTGAGAATTAGTAGTTCAACACATTCATGGCTGTCCTTGCTTATCTAATTATTTTATTACTCTTACAGCTTTCCAATACCATCCTTTGGGTTCAGAATACTAAATATAAGATTGTTCTGGTCGTATTGTACAGGTTTTGTCAAATTTAGTGGATAGAACCACAATTGGAGTTAAAAGGATGGGAGAGGTTGACCAAAAACCTTTTCAAGACGTTTGTGCAAAGAAGTTTTCTCGCTCAGACTGGGAGGTTAGATCAGTGGAATCAATCTCATTGTGGCAAGAAAAAGTAAGCAACCCAGGCTGGCAACCATTCAAGAACACCTTAAAAGATGGAAAGTGGCAGGTAGAGTCTTTTCAAAAAATATTGTCTGTTCGTGAATACAAAGGTAGCGCCACAATAATTCTGTGTACTTGCTGTAGCTAGTCTTCTCTATGGAAGTCACAGTTTCATCAACAATATAATGCTTTTCTCGTGCTAAAATATGATACCGCTTTTTATTACAAGTGATCCGCTTGCCTCAAAATGGCAATACTCTTTGGTACGAGGAAGTTGTTTTCTTGTAAAATTGACTTGTATGTGATCTGGGTCATTCAATGTTTAAACATGATACAGGAAATTATTGATGAAGATGATGGGGAGTTAAAACGACTGAGACATGATTGGGGCGAGGATCCATACGCCGCCGTTGTCAATGCATTGCTGGAACTAAACGAGTACAACCCCAGTGGGCGGTATGTAGTTCAAGAACTTTGGAACTTTAAGGAGGGAAGAAAGGCCAGTTTGCAGGAGGTGATACAGTGCATGGCTCAGGAGTTGAAGAATACTGAGGCTTACAAGCGTAGGATGTGATTGAACGTCGATAGATTCCTGCACTTGGTTTTGCTTTGGCATGTAAATTATTGTCTGCACGTAATCACTTTTTTTTGGGGGGGGGGGGGGGGGAGGGATAGCTTGTATTTCAATTTTCAACAATGTACTTTATTGCTCTCATTATGGAATGGTTTGATAAGATTTCGAAATGGGATCCAACCTCGACTCTTTCTACACGTAAATTTGCTTGAAATGGGAAGGGGAGGTCCTGAGAGTTGAATAATTGATGTTCCTGTCACTTGACTAATATTCTTAGCCAAAAGAGTGGAACTAATGATTTCACAAGCACCTACCAACATTCCTATGGATTAAGTTAGCTCTTAGATACTCGTGGAGATGTAAATGAGCTTAAATAAGTTGCACACTCGTACTCAAGTTTAATTCAAGTTTAATTATTTTGACGGGTTCAAAATTTTGGTCAAATTTGGCTCATTTACTTTTCAAATGAACTTCAAACAAGTTTTATAAAGATAAAATTGAATAGTTTGAATTTTTTACATATAAATTTCGTTTTTGTGCTAATCAAATTAAGATCAAGTCAAATTTGAAAATTTATGTTCAAATTTGGTGTAATCAATTAGTGAACCAATTTTAAATGAAATTCGATTCTACTATCAAGGAGTTGATTCATATTTCAATCTTAAATACTTCATATTCGTCAACCAAGATGAGTATCAAGATAAGTGTCGAGAAGTTTGATTCGCCTTTGAACTTTAGATAGTCTCTGTCCATCTTCCAAGATAGGCGTGCAAGTTGCAACGGGAGGAACGGAAATTGGGAATTTTCGATCCATGCCCAAACGAAGCTAAAGGATCAAGGTAAGTTTCGTCTTAATTCCAGAGGAGCCTCAATCGTGTGCACCAACCCAGCTGGCCCAAGCCAGAAACAGACTTGCCTTTTCCCCTTTTTTGCAGACATCTTTCATTTTTTTTTTTTTTCCGGAGAAACCTGACGGAGACTGAACCATCATCAGATCAAATGGGTGCATCACACATCCGTATGAATTTAGGACAAATCTCATATTGAGACACATTGACGAGAGACAAGATTTGAACTCTTAACCTCCCACCCCACAATTAATGTGATGGCCTAACTCCTCTAGAGAGAGTTGGTTCAGACATCTTTATTTGCTATAACACATTTTACTTCAGGACAGCAAGAATTGCAAGTATAAAAAGCACCAAAAGCCAAGTAAGCTTTAAAAAAGAGCATCAAAAAAAGACTTTGAATTGTTAAGAGTCATGACATGAGATGAGAGTGGGAATAAGAAAGGTACAGCAGTTGGCCTTGGCCCTTGGGAACCTGGTACAAGTTTTACAGCACTCATCAACACCATTAATCTTAGGATCCCCACTTCAGTATTAAGAAAAGTTTAACATGTATCACTTCAAAAAGGAATCTTGCTCCTCATTTATCAAATATGAATGGATTAATTGTTGGATTATTATATTAACACCCAACCAAAAAAAAATAAAAAATCAGAACTCCATGTCCGGGCAATTGAACGAACAATTTCTGAATGTCGAAGAACTAAGGTAACTAATGCTGCTTTTCTTCGTTGGCCTCTGCTTCTAGTTTTTAATCTTAATTGACGAGTTCTACAATTTAGTTAATCGTCCGCGTTGATCACCTTTCTTTTCAGCTTAGAATTTTGTGTTTTCTATAAACTTCATGTTTCTTGGTTGATTGGCGTTAGCAAAAACAGATCAACGTTCAAATGGATTGCATTGGTGAGGAGGTGTTCAAAAAACAGCGAAGACTCTGCATTGCTCTGGCAAGGGAGATTGACAACAAGAATGAAAAGTTGCTGGAGATGGAGAGTATAATGAAAGAGAAGGACATCCTGCTTAAAGAAGGTGTGTCTACCACAACATCCTTGCTGCATTATACTACTAGTAGTCTTCACTGCACTGCGCTAGAGCTGGACTTCAACGACTTGAGGGACAACTTCTGTTTGATGGTTTGAATGTTCTAAGATGTAAATTATCCATATACCCAAAAAAAAAAAAAAAAAAAACTCGGCATCATCCTGAACTAAGAAATTAGTTGGTTAACAATTAAATGACCATTGAGAAATGTCAAACTGCTCTAAGGGTGAAACTTAACGGGTGCATAGTACTTTTTCTTTTCTTTCTTAACAAGTGCATACTGCCTAGTTCTGATTGCTTGGTATGCTGATTGGTGAATTTTAAATTTCGATTCAAAATGGCAATTTCACAGCTCTTGAAGCAAAGCAAAACTTCAAGCTAGAACTTGAAAAGCTGAAGAGCAGGATGGAATTCCAAAAGAAAGAACTTGAGCAGCAAGGCAAGGAAGAATTCAATCACTGTGAGTAAAAAGTTTAAACTGCAGCCAGAGTGTAATATATGCTCTTAGCTTATTTCTACAACCATGTTTCTTGTGATTCAGAACAGAATTTTCTTAGCTATATCTTGCAACGTATGTCTCTTTAAGAATTTTCTTAGCTAAGATATTTAAGAATTCTTTTATATGTCTACTTGTGTGCTGTAACTAGTGCAAGGAACCGTAGTTGCACAAGGCAGAAAGCAAGAGAACAGTGACATGGGATGTGTAGTGGAATCTCAGAAGATGAACTTAGAGCAAGCAATCAATGAAATCGAGGAATTTGACTCCAAAACGGACCTCAATGGACAGCATACCATGGGTAACAAGGATGAGGTACAGTTTCCGTGTCTCATCTATGCGAATGCACCTGTTTATCTGTCTTTCTGTCAAATTACCTAGAGGCGGCGACTAGTACAGTCCTCTCTGATACTAAACAAATTTTCATGAGCTGTTGTGAGAATCCAAATGAAAGTAAAGCACACAATGCTGTTGATTACAGACGTCTTAAGGTGTGATTGTGTGAGGAAGAATGTTCATCCATTTTTAAGTTCTTTGACATTTGAAAATGATTATCTGTCATTAAAAAGCATCCTCTTTGATGCTCCCAGTCAAATATATTTAGGACCAGTTCATTCGCAATTTATCAGTGCTATTCTTGAATCTTGAATGTGTCATGCCTTTAGTCCATCTCTCCCTAATCGTTGGATTCCTATAGCTTATGCAATTGAAGGTATATTTGAAAGCCTTGGAAGATAAAATTTCTGACATGGAAGATGAACATCAAGCTCTCATCACTAAAGAGCGCATGATGAATGATGAACTTCAAGATGCTCGCAAAGAAGCTATAAGAGTATGATCAAGTATCCTTTTCTTGAACTTTAGTATTTCCTTTTGTTCAAAATGTGTTGACTCCTTAATTGTTGTTCTGTTTATAAGATCTAAAATATAAGACCTTCCCTTCAACTTCTACAATCTTCCCCACCAGGCTTTGCAGGGCTTGTCCACTCACCACCTCAGAAAGTTCCAAATCAAAAGAATGGGACAGATTGATACAAAACCCTTTGAAGCTTTGTTCTCGAAGAAGTGCTCTAGTGAAGACAGGCACGCTGAATCTTTAAAGCTATGTTCACTGTGGGAAGAAAATGTGCGAAGTGCAAACTGGCATCCTTTTAAGAGAGTTGAAAACCGTGGAAGATTGATTGTAAGCCTCTCTTCCTAAATACCATCAAAACACTTTTTAACTTGCACAAAAAGTATCTGATTCCAAAAGTTTTATCGTTCTTATGTTTATGAAATGCAATCAACCTTGTCATACTTCCAAAATGATTAATGGACAGTCATTTTGGGATGTCGCAGTTTCTGATTGCTTGGGCCATAGATAATTGACTATTCGTCATAGTAGAAGCTACTTATATTTGTCGAAAGGAGGAAAACACGTGCAGATTTAATTTGAGATTACGCATCATAATTTAGCAAATACCCAAGTAAAACACATACTGTTGGATCTGTTCCCTGAATTTCAGTTTCTAATGAGTGCAGGAAATTATAGATGACAATGATGAAAAGTTGAAACAGCTAAGGAGTGAATACGGGGAAGACGTCTACCAGGCCGTAACAAATGCACTAATGGAATTGAACGAGTACAATCCTAGTGGAAGATATCCAGTTTCTGAATTGTGGGACTGTCAGAAAGGAAGAAAAGCTAGCTTGAAGGAGATCATTGAGTACATTTCGAACAAACTGAAGACACTACAACCCAAAAGGAAGAGATCGTGACTTTACCATGATCCACTGTCCCGTTCTGAGCAGTAATCTCCTTTAGTTTACTAATCCTATAACGTCCATCGTTTATGTTCCTACAACGTCCAGCATCATAGTTTACGTGCCAAAGATCATGACAATCAAATTTGCCTTACATGTTGTGTTTTCGTCTTATTCCTTTGGATTAATTTCCTCTGTTTTCAATTATATTTAACAGCAAAAGATGTGATGGGTAGTAAAAGATTTCAACTCATCTTTCACCCAAAGAACTGCCTGGTACAAATCATGTCAATTGTACCCCGCTTCTCGTATGGAGACAAACAGAGTGCTTCAGTAGATTTAGTCTAATATAGCGTAACTATCAAACTTGATTCATTGTACTTTTTTTTTTTTTTGTCAGCAACGATACATTTGTATAATATATTCTATCCTAATCTAGGGGGAGGGGGAGCCTAAGGAGACTGTTATAGGGGCTAGTGGGTATACAAATCTAACTAAACTAAGAGAGTGCTATGGCACAACCTTTAGATTTTTTTTCGCTGCTGGTGAGGGTTCAAACCTCACCAACAGCCCAAGGAGGGACTTAAATCCCTCCCTGGTGGCTACTGAGCCATTGGCCCAATGGTTGATTCATTGTACTACCATAGGAAATATTTGCAGAAAGAACGTAGTATCACATCTTACATGCCAATGATTAGCGTAGTCGTAGCGCTTGTTCTCGATTGATTATTTTTCACTGATTATAGATTCTGATTTTGAATAATCAGTTTTTGTGATGTTCTGGATTTTTTTATTAAATTTTTTTAATGACAAGAAAAAACTAATATATATAATCAATCAAAAAAAGTTTTTTTTTTAAAATTTTAATTACTGTCCATAATCAATTTATTTAATCAGATTTTGTAAAATTAAAGGAATCGAGAACAAGG